AGTGGTGGTGGTGATGGTGGTGATGGTGGTGATGGTGGTGATGGTGGTGGTGATGGTGGTGGTGATGGTGGTGGTGGTGGTGGTGATGGTGATGATGGTGATGGTGGTGATGGTGGTGGTGATGGTGGTGGTGATGGTGGTGATGGTGGTGATGATGGTGGTGATGGTGGTGGTGATGGTGATGGTGGTGATGGTGATAGTGGTGGTGATGGTGGTGGTGATGGTGGTGGTGATGATGGTGATGGTGGTGATGGTGATGATGATGCCAAAAGGACACCAGAAATGGAATGCTTAGCCATTGGAGGCTCTGCCCTGGGCTCCGGGCCTATGCAGTGGATACCATATTGATGGCTGTGTGCATTGACAACAGTTATACTTGTCTAGTATATTTTCATCTCTGGCAGGACAAGAACCCCTCCACTTCAGCCTTAAAATAGATACTAATGCGGCACAGACAGCCCTCCACTGACGTGAGTTTATGTCCGTGGAGTCAACCAACTGCAGGTCAAAAGCTTCTGTGGGAATCACTGCACGTGCACTAAATGTGCGGGCTTCTTGTCATTATCCAAACCATGCAGCACAGCAGTTCCTCCTGTCACACTCTCGGGCTCCAGGAACTGCACAGTGTTCAGAGATGATTGAAAGCCAGCCAGATGTGCACTGTGTGGGATGTGCACAGTCCATGCCGTGTTAATTCCTAACACAGCATCCTCAAGTTGGGGGATTTAAGGAGGTCCTGGGACCAGTCTCTGAAGAGTGAACTATAATGGTTCATTTGTGTGTTGGGTTCTGAGCTGGGCCCACACACACATAGGCTATCAGAGATAGAGAGGAAACCAGGTGTGGTGGCACTCCTCTTCCTCCTCTTTCTCCTCCTCTTCTCCTTCTTCCTCTTCTCCCTCCTCCTCCTCCTCCTTCTCCTCCTCTCCTTCTTTTTTCTTTTTGGTTTTTTTGAGATGGGGGAGGGGTTTCTATGTAGCTCTGACTGTCCCAGACCAGGCTAGCCTTGAACTCAGAGAGTCTCCTGCCTCTGCCTTCCAAGTTCTGGGACTAAAGTCATGTGCCGCCACCACCTGTCAATGGCACACGTCTTTAGGCCCAGCACTTGGGAAGCAAAGATAGGTTAGCCAGCCTGGTCTATATCGTGAGAGATAGGGCAGCCAAGTCTGTTTACTGAAACCCTGTCTCAAAAACAAACAAAGGATGGAGAGAGAAAATGGAGACCTGCCTTTAGGAGATGTTTATCTTTGGGACGATAAACATCTATGGTTGCCAAGGTAACCCACATGTAGAAAGGCCACAGGTCTGCCTAGGAATCAGACACACATGGCTAGGGAAAATGTGCTAGTTTGCCTTGCAGTTAAGCAGTCAGGGAAGAGGTTATGCTGCAACAGTCTGGGGGAACAGTAGGCAAGGCTTGGTTGGGCCTGGAAAGACACCATGTTTGATTAGGACATTCTAAGTATCAGTGGGGACCAATGCCATGCAGAGGAACCACCTGGATGGGGGTCACGGAAGGTTCCACTGCCCACTACCAATGGTGTGTTCTGATGACCCCACCCCTGATGACCTCCTCTCCTGGCACTGAAATCCCTCAGTTTCTGCCTCTCTTCTCTTCCCAGGAACATGTTTCCAGCCAACCTGGTAGAAGCCACATTCAAACAGGTGAGCAGAGCCTAGCTGTGGAGGGGAGGGGCAGGAGAGGAAGAAAGGCAGGACTATCTGAACATGGTTATAACACAGGCTGGCAGGCTCCCTGTCTCCCACAGGTAGATGACCAGGGTGGGAGTGGGGGAGAGACATGGGTAGGATCCACATCTTAGCACCTCTCACTGTCATACCCATCCTGGGTTCCCGTTGCTCATAAAGAAAGTTCGTGGGGCAGAAGAAAGCCTTGACTGAGCACCTGGCTCAGAGCACAGGTGTTCACACTCACCTTCCCATCATTCTTAGTGTCCACACTAAGGTAAGAACAGAACATTTCCTGGATAAGAAAACCAAGGCTCAGAAGTAGGTCATTGCTCAAGATTATACTAGAATTCAAGGAACAGAGAGTGAGGGAATTCGGGCCAGGCTGGCTTCTAAACCTGCTCTCTCTCTAAAAACAACCCCTGCATAAGAACAATAATAACACTGCCTGGAAAAAAATGTTTATTGGAAATTAGAAAAATATTAAAGTACATCAAGCAGGTCCTGCAGAATGTGACCCTGTTGGTAGAGTGTTTGTCTAGCATGCAATGCCCTGCCCTGCATAAAGAAGGTTTGACACTATATCTGTAACCCCAGAACCCAGGATGTGGGGGCAGACTGGACGATATGAGAGTCGGTGTAAAAAATAAAATAAACTTAAAGAAACATATTACAAACCCTGCTTTCAGTTAAAACAGGAAAATCATCTCTCAGTCCAGGATCTAGAAATAGCAGAAGTAGACCACATTGCTTCTCTGGATCAAAGTCTTACAGTGAAATTAGGATTCCCAGGCACTCGGCTTGCCTTGCTTCCCCTACCACACTCTCACCACGCAGGAGCACCCTCGGCCGACATCAGACTCGAAAGTTACAGCATTCAGGGTGAGGCCAGGCCCTTCTAGCCTGACTGTCCTTCCTTTCCGTGCCATGCGGGTTGTTCCCAATCATTTTGCCCATGCTTCAGCTTCTTTCCGAATCTCTACCCATCTCTTGTGTGCCCATCGCCTTGTGCAAAACAGCCAGTGTTTTCCTAAATCCCTTGTCTGGGCAAGGCTGAGCATTGTGCCAAGGATGCAAAGCAGGTGGGTCAGGAAAGAGACCCCCAAACAAGCATCTGTGAAGCTGAAGCAAGTCTCAACATCTTGATCCTCATCTGTGAATACAGCCACAGGGTACAGGGCCCTGAAAGCTAGTCAGGTCAGTACGCAACCTGCCCTAGTGATGGAGAATTATCGATGGTTACAGAGTCAGTGTGCTAGTCTATTTTATGACAATTTCCTTTTGCCAAAATACTCATCTTTTGAGACCCAAATTAAATGCCCACCCCCCCCCTTTTGATTAAGCACTCTCTTCACCAAGGTCTTGAGCAGAGAAGTGCCTGATTCGGTTGTTCCTACCTGTGCTGATGTTGGTAGCAGAAAGCCTCACATGGGGTTTTCTGCATGCCTAGGGCTGTGGGAAGTACCCGTTTCATCCAGTGAGACAGATGCAGTTGTGGTTCCCTTTTATAGGTGAGTGGCACAAAGCCAGGGACTTTTGGTTCATGTATTTCCTGAATAGCTCTTCCCCTTAAGAAGCCCTACCATCTTGATACTGTGCCGTTTGAAGGGACAGCTGCCCCTTGTTTGGGCTCCTGGAATCTGAGGAATCATGGTCTGGTGGGCAGAGGAAGACCTTGGATGGTTGACATCATCAACCAGGTCCAGGGCCTAGGAGCTTTCTCTGAGAAGATTCTGGATCTGTCCAAGGGACAGCAAAGCTTTGGGCTGTCAGGTGCATGGGTACTGGCCTGGAGGAAGGGGCGAGGTGGGTGACAGGGCTTCTGGCAGAGGAGGAGATAGATTAGGGTGGGGTGAGGGAAGCACATGGTGGTGACAGAGAGCTGAGAGAGTGGCAGGCAGTGTGCAGTCACATGAGGGACCCTTTCTCTTTGTGGTGGGCAACACCCCAGCTTGTGAGCCTCTCCCTCAACAGCCCATTGACATCATATAACGTAAGAGCATACAAGTGTGGCTTCAAGATGATTCCTGTAATAACACGGCACTGACTCCCTCCTGGTTGGCATGGTCCCAACAGTACCGCACCAAGACCACCCCAGTTATCAAGTCTCCCAAGGGGGCTGCAGAGGAGGCTCCTCCCCAGCGGATCGTCATCTATGGAGTCCAGGAAGACAACAGCTCACGTGTGCAGAACTTTGCCCTGGATCTGACGCCCCCACCTGAGATTGTCTATAAGTCAGAGCCCGGTACCAGTGACGGCATGAACGTGCTAGGCATTGTCATCTTCTCCGCCACTATGGGTATGTGTTGTCACTGCTCCTGGAAGTGCCCTCCCAACATTCCAGGTCCTTGTGTCCTGGTCTTCCTAAATGGCTCCAAGCCCTGCTCCCACTGAGAATTCCTGTCCCTGGGGCTACCCTCCTACCTCTGTCCAGCCCTCAGCCCATCGCAGAAGCCTGTTATTAGACTTCACTGAAGTCATGAGAGATGGGGAAGGATTGCCACTGTTTGTAAAGACTTTCATCCTACATTCTAGGCTTTTCCCTAGCTGCTGCCTCTCTCCCCAGAGTTTCTGTGTCATTTCTTGAGACTCCCAGTGGTCTCTCTGAGCACATCTTGCCTTTTGCGACTATTTTCTGGGTCTCCAAAGTCCCCTCCGACCACAGTGATTTTCCATAAACCACTAAGGATGTGACTTGGGGTCCCTTATTTGTATGTGAGCCTTCAAGGCATGTACTTTGTCGTCGTTGTTGTTGAGGGGGGTAGTTTTATATTCTTGGGTTTGTTTGTGTTTTGTTTTAAACTTTTTTTTACTTTTGAGAATTTCATACATGTGTATAATAAGTATAGCTTTTTGTTGTGTTTTTTTTTGGTTGGTTGGTTGATTGGTTGTTGTTTTGTTGTGTTTTTTTGTTTTTGTTTTGTTGGTGGTGGTTTGTTGCTGTTTTTGTTGTTGTTGTGTTTTGTTTTTTTGAGGCAATGCCTCATGCAGCCTGGGCTGGCCTAGACCTCTCTGAGGATGGCCTTGAATTCCTAGCCCTCCTGCCTCTCTGCCAAGTGGGATTATAAGAATAAACTTACTCCGCCTGTATTCTTGCTCTTAAAGAGGCCCCTAAACTGCATCGCTTCAGATTCCATGATTTTCTGCTGAAAACACTGCCCACCAGCCCCACTACCATACACAGGGTGCCCCTCTCTCTTGGGGAAGCTCTAGCCCTGGATGGACCATTAGCACCAACCCTGGCGCAGCTGGCTCCTGCTGCCCCGGCTTTTCTGCAGCATTTTGTTCTCTTAGAGCACGCTCAGCATCCTATTATGTACATGAGACATCTGGGCCACGTTCTAGCTGGCCCCAGCAACATTCCCCCTACCCAGACCCTGCCAGCCTGCTTCCTCTCTCTCTCTGCTGTTACTACCTCCCTGGAGCCATTTGGCTCCCGCGTCAGCTTCCTGGAGGCTTCCTGTACCTTGTCTTGTCCTTTCTGGTGTGTCCTCTGAGTCAAGAAGCTGGTCCAGTTCTGTAGGCTACACTCGGACAGAAGCCAAATGGAGCTTTAGAAGCTGCAGAACTCAGGGGTGTGGCCCAGGATGCTCTGTAGCCCTGCAGTCCTGTGGCCAAGGCTTCAACTAACCTTAGCCCACTGTTCGTGTCGTTCCTCCCTGCCTCCTCTCTCATCCTTCAGGGGCCTCCCCATAAGCATATCATTCTCATCAAGGTCTTCTTGTCCTCCGGTTCAGTCAGGGGCCCAGGTCATGGTTTCTCTGCTCGAGATGCTCCACATTGAACATCTGACCCTGTTGCATTAATCTCTGTTTGTGTGGCGTTGCACTGAGCCTCGGTTCAGTGGCTCAGCATCACTTGCCTGGCTTTAGTCCATTTGCCGGAACCCTCCATGGTGACTAGCAAAGGCAGGGCTCAGAGAAACCTGTTAGAAAGATGCTTGGAACTGAGTATGTAGGCAGTGATGGATGGCAAAGCTCTGATTGTCTTGGCTAAAATACCAGACACATAGAGAGCTAAGACCTGAATCTGACATAGGACGCTCCGTACATGCACCTGACAACCTGGCTACTGGGCTTTTTCCCCCTCCTTCCACAGCCTGAGAGGCATGTGATGAATAAAGGCTACCTGGTAACAGAGAGAAAGAGATGTTTGAGATGCCCAGTGTGTCCTGGGCAGTGTAACTGTGCTTTGCTGTGCATTTGTGCTTGTTCACTGGGCAGTGTGACTGGCTCTGTATCAGTGCATTTGTGCCTGGCGTGCCCAGTGTGCACCTGAGAGTGCCCTCCTCTGGGCATACCATGTCATGATGCACAGTGGCTCCAATCAGGGATCTTCTATCCTTCATCCCCAGGTCTTTTTCGTGGTGTGGGGACATGGCTGGTGCTCAGGTCACCTTGTCTATGGGGTACCTCATTGTCACACTTGTGTCCTATGTACACTAGATCTGAATTAACCAGAGTCTCGTCCTGGAGACATTCAAGTAAAGGTGAGGAGGAGCAGGGATAGCCAAGGGGTAGGCAGAGCTGGAAGGTGTGAGCTGGCTTCCTGTTTGCCAGGATATCACAGGCCAGATGGGTAGGCCTGGCCCAGGGGCACCCCGAGGCCGGGCTTCTCCTGCTTACACAGGTAGGGCTGGCCCCAAGGAGCAGTTTCCCCATGCATTCTTGCCAAGAAAACTGACATCAGATGTCCAGACATACTGAGGAAAAGCACTGAGGCGGCAGAGAAGCTGCTATCTAGACTCCTAAGGTCCGTGAGGCCAGGGCCCTCGAGGAGGGGCAGCACAGGGTGGTTTCGTGGAGTTACCCAAACGCAGCTGAAGCGGGGAAATGTTTTCTGTCAAAGCAGATTGTGCACCAGGGTGAGTTCAGGAGCATTTACCTCAGGGGGATGGATGTCCACTGCTGTGTGGAGAATGACTAGAGATGAGTCTTGGGGCTGTAGGGGTGTCAGCAAGGGCACATGCGCCCATCTGTCCCTGCTTTTCCATCAGTGTGTCCGCATGGTGGCCTAGTACCCTTGTGAATCTCTCTGTATGACCCCGCAGGCATCATGCTGGGCCGCATGGGTGACAGCGGGACCCCCCTGGTCAGCTTCTGTCAGTGCCTTAATGAGTCCGTCATGAAGATCGTGGCAGTGGCAGGGTGGTAAGTCTCCTCCAGGGAGAGTCCTCTTTCCTCCACTCCTCCTGTCCTGGACACATCACTGAACCATTCTTTTTGTTTGTTTTTGTTTTTGTTTTGTTTGTTTGTTTTTTGCTTTTGTTTTGTTTTTGTTTTTCGAGACAGGGTTTCTCTGTATAGCCCTGGCTATCCTAGAACTCGCTCTGTAGACCAGGCTGGCCTTGAACTCAGAAATCCACCTGCCTCTGCCTCCCAAGTGCTGGGATTAAAGGCGTGCGCCCCAACTGCCAGGCTCACTGAACCATTCTTACGGGAATTCTTAGGAGCTCAACAAACTGCACAGGAGGCTCAGCCTGGACCTGGGCCACCAGTGCTAGCTGACTGTGCAGTGTTCCCAGCCCAATCTGGCCTCACCTTCTGCTGTCTTGGTCTCAGTTTCCCCATATTGAGGAGCCTGCTTAGCTTGACTCCTGAAGAAAGCACACAGCAGAAGTGAGAATCAGTAACTGCTTCTGGTTCAGAGTTCAGACCTTAGGTGCCTGATAGTCTGAGGAGCGTGCAGTGGACTGACCGTGGTCACCTAGGAGGAATGGCCTTGCTAAGCTAAAATGGGGCTTCTTCAAGGATGTGGTGGCTGTCTAGGCCTGGGGCAACTGAGGGACCTGGGTCACAGATGGGCACCTCAATCTCACTCATCCTCGTGAGCCATGAGGGGCTTGAGATGAGATCATGCAGTGACAAAGTGCCAGGTGGGAGGGGACCCAGAACTGAACCTGAGGTCACTCTGCCACCCCAGGTACTTCCCCTTTGGCATTGTCTTCCTGATCGCTGGCAAGATCCTGGAGATGGATGACCCCAAGGCAGTAGGGAAAAAGCTGGGCTTCTATGCCGTGACTGTGGTTTGCGGGCTGGTGGTCCACGGTCTCCTGATCCTGCCCCTGCTGTACTTCCTCATCACCAGAAAGAACCCCATCGTCTTCATCCGTGGTGTTCTCCAGGCTCTGCTCATTGCATTGGCAACCTCCTCCAGGTAGCCCCAGATGAAGAGCTGAGAGGGTTGGGGTAGGCGGAACAGAACTCTGTCCGTCTGTCCAGTCATCATTCACCTACAGCCACAGAACCACTGAAAGTGCTAACGTGGCTCCTCAGACAGATCCCAGTGGTGGTGATATGACCATATAGGGGCTTAATGCCCAAGACGCTGCCTGCCTTAGTCATTCTTAAGGTCTCCCTTTGCCCATGGTCCCAAAGTTTCCTCAGTCTTCATGGAGGCCTGTCCTTACTCCATGGGCAGAGAGCGTGTATTGCTTTCACAGATCACGTGTTCCTGTCAGGGCAGATCCTGTGACACTGGAGGGATTCTGTCTGTCTACTCCAGACGGAGTGTCAAGGCTGAGTAACCTGCTTCAACCTTGGCAGCATTTCTAGACAGCCAAGTCTGGAGTCGCTGTTCAGTTAAGCATACCAGTGTGATGACAGGCTGTTACTTAGCTTTCCCAGGCCTCAATGTCCCCACACCTGGACTAGAATAATTTGCACCTGCACAGGATTGATTGCTTCAGAGGCTGAGATAAGGCTCTGGGGTGAGAAAGCGAGTAAAACCTGTGAAACCCAGCCTTGGGGACTACCGGCCACAGCTGAGGACCTAGGATAGTTAGAAGGAGGAAAGAGGGGGGCAGGGAGGGAGGGAAGGAGCGAGGGGATGGAGTCGTCACCCATGATCATTGTGCCCTGTGAGGAAGTACTCTTCTGAGACCAAACTCCATGTGGAAGGAACTGTGGGCTTGGAGCCCATCTTTCTGGGCCAAAGGTCTGGTGTTTTTTCCAGTCCTCATCTTTCTTGCCTGGGCCTCAGTCTCTGGGACTGTGCTGTGCTTTAACCCTGACAGCAACCCCTGCAGTGGAAGCCCCTTCCCAGAGACTTAACTTGAGTACTTCTCTAAGTTCTGCATGGCTTGATTTTGCTATCACCCTGTGACCTGGGAGTTATGTGCAACAGAAACCAAGGTGTCCAGGCTGCAGGGCTTGCTGAGGCCCCGTAGGAGGCTGAACTCAAGGCCCAGGCACTCTGGCATAGTCTCTGGGAATCACCACTGCAGATACTTTAGGCCCACAGTGTAGCACTGTGCCACCGAAGCATTCCTCCCCATTGCCTTCCTGAGAACTCTTCCTGGGGTCATCCTACCAGCCCAAGCTGACCCACATGTATACCACACATTTCTGTCAGGGCATCAGTGAGCTGGCTCTCCCATAGTGGCTCACTTCCGAGGCCCAGACCATCCTGGAGGAGGGTGGTGGGCAGACACCTGCCCCTCTGCCCATAGCTCAGCCACACTGCCCATCACCTTCAAGTGCCTGCTGGAGAACAACCACATAGACCGACGCATCGCTCGCTTTGTGCTGCCCGTGGGCGCCACCATCAACATGGACGGCACCGCACTCTACGAGGCTGTGGCTGCTATCTTTATTGCCCAGGTCAACAACTATGAGCTAGACTTTGGCCAGATCATCACTATCAGGTGTGTCTGAATGCCACACGCTAGAGGGCCCCGGGGTCAAGAAGGAGGGTATATGCCAGCCACAGGCAGGGCTGATGCTGGGGCTAGGGTAAGCCTGATCTCTGGGATCAGGGTGAGCAGAGTCAAGAGCCAGCCTGAGGACCAGTGAGGCTGGTATCAAGCACAAGCTGCTGCAATGGGACAGAGTTTAAGGTCCCTGCATACAAAGATAGACCCAGAGAAGGTGGGGGGTGGGGGGAGCTGTGCTGGTAGACCACCAGAATCTCCAAAGGGCTATGAACAGGGACCTGCTCCTCTGAGAATCCCCTGATAGGATATCACAACAGACAGCCTCCAGACCCTTGGCTGACCCCAGACCCTAGCATTCTGGTCTCCTTGGAGCCAGGGCTGTGGCGGGTATTCCTGCCACATCCTTCTCTCTCTGCAGCATTACAGCCACTGCAGCCAGCATTGGGGCGGCTGGCATCCCGCAGGCGGGGCTTGTCACCATGGTCATCGTGCTCACCTCTGTGGGACTGCCAACCGATGACATCAATCTCATCATTGCTGTAGACTGGGCGCTGTGAGTGCTTTGTTGGGGTCCCCACCCAGTCCCACCCTTGCTGAGGGTAGCAGGGTGGGGGAATTGCTATGTATGGTAGGCTAGGGCACCCGGATAATCAACACCAGTTGTGTGACTGGTATCCCAGAATTCAAAAGTGAAAATGCAGCCTTCTTGAAGTTCTAGATAGTGATCTCAGGTCTGGCCCCTCTAAACACAGGGCCTGTGTCATGAAGGGGCTTCTTTGCCACCACTGTGGGTGGATTGGGTGCATCCCTGCCTGTGGTAACTGTCTGTGCCTCTGTGCAGTGGCCTCACGCTTTCCAGTTGAGCGTGGCCCTCTACCAGTTCCCCGTTGAGGTTGCCGCAGCTCACTGTATACCTTGGCTTGCCAGGGATCGCTTCCGAACCATGATCAACGTGCTGGGTGATGCGCTGGCGGCGGGGATCATGGCCCACATCTGCCGGAAGGATTTTGCTCAGGACATGGGCACTGAGGTGAGAGCAGCAGCCCTCCAGGAAGCCTCTAAGACAGTGGTTCTCAACCTGTGAGTGGCGACCCCTTTGAGGTCTAACGACCCTTTCATAGGAGTCACATATCAGATATCCTGCATGTCATGTATTCACATCGTAATTTATAACATGAGGGACCGTATTGGAGGGTGGCAGCATTAAGAAGGTTGAGAACCACTGTCCCAGGTGGAGCTGCAGAGTTCCAGATGTTCCACCCACCCACTGAAGCCTTCAGTCACATCCTCCACAGCTCTGGGCTCCTTGTCCCAGCAGGTGGCTAGCTTCTCTAACACCTGTTCATAGAGGACCCGCCCTGCAGGGCACCCAGATCTAGCCAGTGAAACAGTGAGAAAACATCTTCCCCTTGAGAAACCCAGTCCCTCAGGCAGGATGTTTGTGGGGCAGCAGGGAGCTGTCTGGTATTCAGGATTGCCTGTAAGTCTAGATGTCTGTATCCTCTTCACTGCAAGGAAGCTGGGGTTCAGGCAGGGAAGCTACTGTTTTCCCGACTAGACTCTGTAAATAGCAAAACAGGCGGCAGGAGGCATGGCAGCTTGCACACTGGCGCCCAGAGAACCCTGTAACCTGCCAAGGCTGCCCAGCTGTGTTTATAGAAACACCTCTTTCAGTGGCTCCCAGCCCCCTGAGACTGCTCAGCATCACCTACCTCAGTCCCTCCCAGTGCTAACGAGGCCTATTTTCTCTCCAGAAATTGCTACCCTGTGAGACCAAGCCAGTGACACTGCAGGAGATCGTGGCTGCCCAGCAGAACGGCTGTGTAAAGAGTGTGGCTGAGGCCTCAGAGCTAACCCTGGGCCCCATGTGCCCCCACCACATCCCGGTCCAGGTAGAGCAGGATGAGGAGCCAGCCACTGCCAGCCTGGACCACTGCACCATTGAGATCAATGAGCTGGAGACCAACGTGTAAGCCTGCAGGGTCACAGAGCCAGGCCAGACCCTGGGGTTTGGGTTAAGGGTAGGGGTTGAACTCAAAACACACCTGAGCAGCTGGCACATTCCACCCTGACAGGTTAGTCAGCCACTGATGAGAAAGCATGTCTCACAAAGGAGACAACTGTGAGCAGAGGCCCCAGTCAGCAACTATGGCTCTTGTGGCCCAGGACCTAGCTGTAACAGTTTCTATATGAACCCACAAAGACACCTGGTAGGGGTCTTTGCCTATACTTTGTGGAAGAACAGTTTGGGGGCCTGAGAGCTAAAACCACTCCTTGAAATAAGTGTCATGGCCAGGATGTTAATTCAAATCTTTGGAGTCTCCACCACTCCCTTCTAATGAACAAGGCAGCCTGCAAGGAAAAGTGAAAGAAGTTCTGCCTTCTCCAGGGTCCCCACGCCCACAACAGCTTCCAGCTCATGAAGATAAAACAACAGTGGCCCTGTTCCTGCCCCAGCTGTGTCCAGGCCAGGTCAACCCTGCTCCACCCCACAGCATGTGGTTTTAACTCAATAAAACTGGCTGGCCCATCCCAGGTCTGAGACCTGCTGCCTTCACACGTTACAGCCTGTCCATTTCTGTCCACCAGACCTTGCATCTAATATGGAGAGTGATGTCCACTAGGGCTGGGAGACCCAGTGGGTACAGCCCTGCCAGGCTTCCATGAGATGGGTGGGCAAGATGGGCCATAGAGAGAAAGATCCACCTTGGGGTGCTCTAGCCAAGTAGTACCTTGGGGTCTGAACTCTTTGTGTGGCAAAATTGAATGAGAGTCCCTAGTCCCTTCCATGTTTGCAATAATGTGATAAATAAAAGTGTTTTTTTTTTTCAGGACTTATGGATGTGACAGACTATGTGTTTTGCTTTGTGCTTTGAGACAGGGAATTGTAAGGTAGGGCTAGCTACCCATTATATAGACTCTGCTAGTAGCAATCCTCCTGTTCCTGCCTCCCCAGCTACTGAGATAATAAGGCCTGAGCCACACTTTCCAGTTGAGACCAGACTCTGAGCAGCATCTCTTTGTTGAGCTAATGCAAGCTGAGAGCGTAGATCAGCCTGTCCTGGCAGCCACAGTAAGGACAGGCCCATCTGAACTAAGCAATGCAGGAGTCAGAGTATAAACAAGCCCACCCGAGCCACTTCAATAGGCCTGACTGTAGCTGGGCCTTTTCCAGGGCTGTTGTGGACAGACTTCCTTTCCTTGCTCAGCTTGATCTGGGCCCTGACCCTGAAATTGAACCTCAGAAAAGGAAAAAAAAATCTCAGCGGAAGCTACCTTTGGTTAATGGTTTACCTTAGAGAAGGGCCTGGCCCAAACAGCCTAAGGGGAAGAGAAGGATACTAACCATACAATCCATTCTAGGTGGGGTTGGAGATGGGAGTGGGGGTCTGGGTAGGGGGTATAACTCTGTGGTCTGGAGGGATTATATACCAGATCCATGAACACGTGAGACCCAGGGACAAGACAGGCTTCCCCAAGAACACACATCCTCACCTTTAAACTCTCTCTCCCTTCCTCCAGTGAGTGTAAAACTCCAGGAAAGGCCTCAGCTCTAGGACACCCCCTCCCATGCTACCACTCTCTATGATTCTATCATGGGTCCACATCCTTCATCAGTTGATCGCTGACCACCCGGGGAAGATCAAATGTCCAGCCAGTTACTTTTTCCGTCATGTGCCCAGGCTTTAGTTGATCCTCCCCTGAGTCTCTCAAGACCCCTGAGGAATCCAGTTGCCTTTCCCTGCTAGCCAGGGAGGGTTCTGTATTTTGGTGAACTTGAGAGATATCCACACACCTCTAGGTCAGAAAGATCTTTACAGTCATTTAGATCCAAATGAGGTACAGCCTCCCTAAGGCTTTCAACCCAATCCCAGCTCTCCCTCATTGGGGTGGCATAATGGCTGTCCCTCGCCGTGTCCCTGGGAAAACCTAAAAAGACCTTGTCCCCAAATCAGCTCTGTGGGAGGCCTCAGACGTGCCTTCTGCCTCCTCACTCCTTGGACAGCACAAATCACCTCAGTAACGTTAGTAACAGTATCTCCATGCAACGGTGACTTTCCAGGTGGGCTCTAAACAGCCCAGGGCCCATGGGTCGTCTGTTTGGAGGTTCAGCTTGGGGGTAGGGGGACTGTGAGACCTGTTCAGCACTCCACACTAAAGGCAGATTTCCACCTAGACAGCGTACCCATCAGGCCTTCCTGTCTTGCTACTATGTCCCATCCTCCCCTGACTGTGCCACTCCTGTGGGGTCCCTCAGTCCTGGTACTGGCCCTCATTCCTCTGGTCAGGGGTGCTGCTTGCTAGATCTTGCCCAGATACCAGCCCATCACCTGGAGGGAAGCACACACAGACACAGCATGGTTGCAAGGGCAGGGATAATACTTTATATTAGTTTTTCTGTAACAGGAAAAATCAGCTTTGAGATTTTTATCTTCATATATTTTTTTTCTCCTTAAACAAAACCAAAGGTACCCAGAACTTCCCTGCAGAACTGAAGACCAATGCAGCTGCCACCACTCCACCCCACCTCAATTCCAGCCCGTGCACTGCTTCCTCCTTTCCCTCCCAAGACTTCTTGAGATTGTTCTCCGAAAGTGCCTGTGATCTGCTAGGGCACCACAAAAAGGGGCTCCCAGCAGTAGGGCTGCCCAGCACCGGGGGGAGGAGGCGAGGCCATGGTAAAAGGCAGAAGGTTCAAATCCCCATAGGGAAGGCACAAAACAAAAGCCAGCTTTTGAGTCTCAAAGGGTAGAAAGCACCCGCCCACAGAGCAAGAAGACAACCCTGTATCTCCAAGGGAAGGACTAGAGGACAAGGCACATGGCCAACTGTTTGCGGCCAAAACTGGCCGGAAACAAGAGCTTTTGGTAGCATAGGTCACTCTGTGTAAGTGAATAGAGAAGAGGGTAGCTGCCTGAGTGTACCAGGCCAGTGTGGTCTCAGAGGTCAGGATGTGTGTGTGTGTGTGTGTGTGTGTATCAGTGTGAGATTGTGCAGAAAGCCAGTTTGGAAGGTCATATGCAGCTGGCTATCTACGTGGCCAAGCTGGGGGATGGGGCGGTGAAGTGGTATCTGCACGTGTCTGACTGTGTGACACATTGCTGGAAGGGGTGGGACACGAGACTGTGTTCACCCTGTGACTTTCTGGTGCCTCTTGGGCTCAGCGTTGGGTGTGTCAGAAGGGGGCGCTCATGGGGCACAGGCCTGGGCCGCAGAAAGGAGTCCGGTAGTCCGTTATCCTGTGGAACATGTTGGAGAGTCAGGATGAGCTACAACCAGCCTCGGCTGAAGTGGATCAAAGTAAGGGGATTTTGGAAGCCAGGCTGCTGTGAGGAGGAATGAGGAGGAGCCCCTGGGAGTGTAGAACCAGGAGGTACCCAGCCCTGAATCCAGAACTCCCCGGGGCTTCTCCCAGCAGTCCACTCAGTTGACTTAACTATGGCCAACATTTCACAAAGTGGGAAGATTCTCCCTCACCCCAGAACTTCATAGTCCATTTCATGAGAACCAGGAGTCCTCATGGGATAGCAGTCACCCCTTCCTGCTGATCCCTGACTCTTAAGGACTGTGCCTCAGGACAGGGACTCTACCTCCACAGCTGGCCCTGGGAGCCAGGTCTGCCCTCTAGGCTCACAGCCCTGTCATGAGTCCTGTTCTCTCCATCATCTGTCACCATTCATCATCAACCCCCCAAACACACACACACACTACCAGCTCCTGTCTGCTCCAGGTTCTACTTCAAGTCAGCATCCTAACTGTGGCCATGGCCACACCCTGGCCACACAGTTCCTAACACATTCCCTGAGGTCTGACCTAACCTTAGCCTCTCTGACCACTGCTCTCTGTCTGGACCCTTCCTGTCACCTCCCAGGTTTCAGCTTCCTCCCCGTGTTTCTGCTACCAACACTTCCATCTGCCCCTCCTCCTTACCAAGCCTAGTGCCACAACCCAAACAAAAACTCAGCCATAAATGCATCCAATTCTATGTTTAACATCACTCACTGCACGGACGGAAAGCTAAGGCCCTCAGGCTGAGGCAACTTGAGATCCAGCCATCAAGCCACTAGCCTGCCTGTGAGGGACAATTACCAACCTCCTGCAATCCTTACGGCAGCCCTCATACCCACATTCCTCAATGCGCTACCCTCCCTCCACAGCGTATCCCGTGAGTGTCCTTGCCACCAGTGCCAAAAGGAGTACCAAACAGTTTCACCTGAGTTTTACACGGCCTCCCCTCAGCTACTGCCACTCCAGAGCAAATACACTCCCTACCGTCCAGGTCATTCCCTCCACCCCCGCCTCTCCCTCAGTGCTCCCTATGACATCACAAGGATTCCATGTTGTCCTTATGCACAGCAGTGCCCACGTCCCTCAGGCTCTTAGTACTGAAGCAGTTTGAGTCCCCACCCCACTTTTAGAGAAGCCCATGAATGTATTAAGTATGTGTATGAGCGTGGCCACATGTAAGCCTGTGTGAATGGGTACCCATAGACACACCTCTATGCGTATATCCATAGGCACACTTGTGGACACAGATATGTACATGTTATTGTCTATGATTGTGTCCTGGAATAAAGTATGTATACATGTATGTGCAAACTCCCTGTGCATTAACTACCTGTGACTGCCCTCTCCCTCCCTGCCCTAGACAAGCTCTTCAAGTGCCCTCAGTGTCTGTACCTATCTCAAGGCATACAGTGACTAAAGCCCCATCTCTAGTCCGGGCCCCTCTCCTCTGAGCCCCAGACTTAGAAGTCTCTGTACCCCGAGTATCTCCCAGCACAATACTCATCTCCCTGAGCTAGAATGAATGCCTTAGCTCAAACTGGCTTCCATGGGCCTGCACACACACACACACACACACACACACACCTCACATGGTGCAATCCTACATGCAAACGAAATGACAGGTTTTCAAAATGAAGGGATAGAACAGAGACGGGATGAAGTTGACACACAGAGAGCCAAGGCAGGTCAGGGACAGCAGGGCGTGGCCAGGGGCAGCAGGGTGTGGTGAGAGGTGCTATCACACCTACATGAACCACCCACCTGGGTCACATCTGTGTCACTCTGTCCTATCTCGTTTCCTCTTCTTCATCCTCTTCCTCCTCCTCCTCCTCTTCTTCCTCTTCCTCATCTTTGTGGCCTCGGTCCTTGGAAACGTTACCAAACTCAAAGTTGCCTTCAATGTCCAAGACCTGCAGGTGTTTCAGCCTCCGGAAGGCACTTTCCACCACGGAGCCCACGGCCAGCTTGTTGAACCTGAGTGGTGGTCTATGGGTCAGCGGCAGGAAGCCTGGCCGATGCCCTCACACCTACCCAGCTCAGAGGAAAAAGGGCAAGGAGAGGGTATTCAGGAAGTGCCACAGCAAGTTTTGAAGGTGAGGGGCCAAGAAGCATGGTGCACCGTGGCAAATAGACCTGTTAGGACATCAATCACAGAGAGTGGCAGAGGCAAGAAAGGTCTCCCTTGATCCATAGTCACTTCATGTGCAGAGCGGCAGCCATGGGAGCTACCTCTGCTGCCCTCCCCCACTAACCTCAAGATCTGACAGGCACACAGGCAAGGCCATGGCTGAGCTGGTAAGGGATGTACTCAGCACAACAGGCCGAGTCACAGCACCCAGTGTCATCACCCTGGGCCTGTCTTCTAATCTGTCTTCTCTCTGATTTGGGTGGGTCGAGTTGGAGTGAGGGAGGGAGGTCTGAGAAGAAGCCAGAGTCTGTGGGGTCTGAGTTCCCTGAAGCCCTAACCCCAGAGCCCAGTGGGGACCTAGGCACCTGTGTTCTTGGTCTGACTTGGTCTGAGCCCCGTCTGGCTGACTGAGCACAG